CACCAGAGCCTTGGACCACCCTCACCTGGAGCCTCACAGGAGCAGGGCGGGAAAATCCGCGTTTGTGTCCCGTGTCGACCCTGCCCATGGAAACCTCCTTTGCAACGAACCCTCCCATGGCCAGAGCCACCTGCCCGTCCCAGGGCAACATCCAGTGCCCCTGCAGGAGCCCTGCCTGGGTGGCCATGGTGACAGAGTGTACACAGAGGGTGCAGGGCGTGGGGCTGACCCACGGCACGGGCTGGGGACACTCCGAGCCGCGGGAAGAGCCGGGACATTCCTCGGGAAGCATCCCCAGGGGAACGCCTGCCAGGGACACTCTGCTGGGTGCTCTGGGAAGGGGATCCAGAGGGGAGCAGCTCTCCTTTTTCAGCATTTTATTCCAGGTGCAGGAGGATTGCAAGGTCAGCTGCCTGGGGGTAAGTCTTGCCTTCCTTTTGTGCGTTTTAACACGAAGGTGTTTGTGGGTGAAGGCTGGCAAAACGGATTCATTTGCAGGCAAACTTATCCTTGTAAACCTCACAGACCCTGTCTCATTCCTGATTTAGCTTGATAAATCTCCACCAAATTGTTTTATCGCATTATTAATTGCATACACATCTGATAGACACAGGGCATAATTGATTCTAATTCCTTACATCATTGATTCTCACTCCTTACACAATTGATTCTCACTCCTTACACACACTCAGCTTGTTCTGCAGAGCAGATTTACTGATTTCTCTGGCTACCACAAATTAGTGCAAAAGGTTTGAGTAGCCTCACATCTGACTGACAGCATGATCTGTGCTCCTGGATTTTTTTTTAGGGGGGGAATTAGTGAAATTCTGTCATCCTGAAAAACCTTCGAATGGCAATTGCATGAATCCCAAATTACAGCACATTAACCCAACTGCCCAGCTACAAACCAGGTGTGATGTTATTCACGTTGATTATTTTATCTTGACCCAAAACAGCAGCTGTATTTGTCCTTCCAGCTCTGGACTCAGCTACCAGCAAGGACTCCATGCCGAGGTTTTCCTCTTCTCCCCTTTCCATTGTGCTGCATGATAATAATTTATATTTTAGTATTTAATTGCTTCGTCTTTGCACTCTTGAAATTATCTTTGTGTTGCATTCACTGCAGTTTTAATTATTAAGCACAATTAATTTGTGGTATAAAGGCTTTGTATTTAGTAGAATAAGGGTGATATGACCAATGTTCTCCATTATTGTTAATTCCTTATTATTCTGAAAGCAAGAGTATATTAATATAATTATTGGCAGTGCTTTCTTTGTGCTCTAGGTTTGAATTCCATGAACCCACGAGCAGTGCTTGGTTTGTAGGCAGTGTAATTAGCTGATTGTACCCACTGCTCCACAATCACTAACTTCACTGCCATCAAAACAAGGCACAGGATTCCCTGCTCCAACCTCAGTCTGGAAAACTGCACTACAAACCCTCCTTACCCTCATTCCCAGTGCAAAATTATTGATGGTAGTTACTCATTTGCAGCTTTATTTCCAGAATTTTACCTGTCCAGCAGAAGTGGGAGCTTTCCTGGACCTGTCTGTTGTGTTTAAATTAATTATCTTAATTGCTTATGCACCAAGACTGGGCTAAGAATTTCTCTTGGTTGCATCCTTCAGATATTGGGAAAAAAAAAATTTCATCTACTTTTCATGTTTTATTTAACCACCCAGCAAGTGAAGGGGGTTTTAAGCAATGATTAAATATTAAACTCTCTGGATGGATAAGTGATTTTTACTCTGACCACTTGGCTCAATGTTCAGGAATTTCAATAATAGTACTGGAACCTGCTGTGGGAGGGTTGTTTGTTTGTTTTTTAAACAAAATCCCAGTTTTCATCCAAGCAGGGCTTGGAAGGCTTTCCATCAGCCTGGTTGCCAGGCAGTGTAGTTAGCTGATTGCCCAGAGCAACAATCACTAGCCACACAGCCAGGTAAAAAGGTGTGGAGGATCATCTCAGTGGGAATTCTGACTGACTGCCCTCCTTCCAGGGGCATCAACGGGACAGTGATTTAGGCAAGGGAAATGTGCTGGATTCCTGTCCCAGGCAGGAGACACCAGTGCCAGTTGTGCTGGGTCATGCACTGGTTTGCACACAGGACACTGGAAAACAGGAGAACAAAATAAAGGGTGTTTTCTCCTCCACCTCTGCAGCCCTCAGCTCCCATTCTGACCCCTCTTACAGTCTAAGGCCTCTCTTCTCACATTTACCTCCATTTATTGCTGTTCAGCAAATAAAATTGAGGCCTGTGGTGGCAACTCTTCGGGGCTCGAGCCTGAACCTGAGTGGAAACGTCCTGAAGACAGAAACTGCTGCTGGAGCCTCTGCTGCCCTCACTGGATAATCAGTGCTCCACCCAGACCATCGACACAATTCACCCCAGCAAAGGAAACTGAGACAACTACCATGGAGCTCTGTAACAACATTTCCAGCCTGACTCTGCAATTTTCTTTCTTTTTTTTTTTCTTTTTTTTTTTTTCTAATTTTAGTAAAGTCTTGCCCATTTTTACTGAAGAGCCTGGGGTTGGGAGGCAGGCCAGACGAGAGCAATCAGCAAGAGGTGCAGGAAGGTGCTGAGCTCTGCAAGTCTTTCCTGCAAGTCAGCAACCCTCCTTTCCCTATTAATAATTCCAAAAGGCATCCCATCCATTACCATCAATTAGTCTGCTTTCTGAATTCTGGCTGGAGCCAGCAACAGTTCCCTGAATCTTACATTCTTCTTTTATTATTTTTTTTTTTTTAAATTCAGTAACAACAGTTGAGAGCCAGAACTTGCAGCAATAGAGATGACTGATTGATTTCACTGAAAAAATGACTTTATACAACTACAATAACCCTTAAAAAATTTAAAATTAATGCACTGAGTGAAATAAGCATAATGTTCAGCTTATTATCAGTCATAGGTGTCACTGAGGGTTCAAATCCAGACTCCAGACCTGACTCAGACCTGCTGTTCCTGCACCCCTGGAAGCTCTGTTGTCTCCACAGTGGTGCAGGGACAAATTCCCTAAGCAAGGGGGATGCTGTAGGCTCTGGGACACTGAAAGTCCAGGCCAAAGATAGCAGGAAGCAAAAAGTATAAGAGGTAAATGAAGTGTAGGCCAGCTAAATATAGGTATTGGACAATTTTCAACCCCAAAACCACAAGGATAAGAGAGTGTGTGTCTAAATTTCTCAGTTTCACATGCCAAAGGGATCTTCACAGCCTGTCCACTGTTAGTTGTTTGATTTTTTTCATGGCTGTCTTTAGGTTTTTAATCCCCTGAAAACACTAAAATTCAGTTTATAACAAAGTTACTGAACTGGCTGCTCTGCTCCCTAAAAAGCTCTCAGAAACTTAATTGGAGCAATCAGAGGAAGAACTCCACGTCGGGATTTTTATTATTATCAGTAGTGAACTCCAGATTGACTGATACACAGTGGGTTTTGCTGGCCTGGCCGGATGTTTGTCAGGAGAATAAAATCCAGGAGTAAGAGGTTTGAATTAAATTAATGCACTTCTTTCCTTCTGCTGTAATTCCCAAGATACAAAGCAGTGATAAATGAGTTGAAGGTTAAACATCTATAGAAGAACTCTATATCTGAATTAATACAATTTCATTCCCCAGTTGCAGAGAGTAGAACTGAAATTTTAAAGCTGATGAGTGCAGTGATTTGAGAAATAACTTGGAAAACAAGATCTCAAAGGATACTTTCAGAAATGACGTATTCATTTAAGACATAAAAGCCTCCTTTCTTCTTCCTCCTTACTTAAGCTTCTTAAGTGGGTTCATGTTAAGCACTTCCTCTTCTCAAAGTTTATTAAAATGCTGAACCAACTATATCTGCTCTGCCCAAATTCTATGCATTTAAAGCTGGCTCTGCTTTTTATTTCTCTCAGTCTAAATAATCAGGTCCTGCCTGGGAGGGGGGGAAAGATGTTCTGGATATTACTATCATTATTATTGCAATAGCTACTCAGTTTTATCCTATACTAATATATATTATATTAAGATATAGACATTGAAATGCTGAAAGCCTGCTGCTATTATTCTGTACTTTACTTTCTGTATATTTTCCATTTATTTGTAAATAGTGGCCAAGAGAAGGAAGTGGAAGCTTTGACAATTTTCAAAATTTATGAAGACCTTAATCTTGCTTTAATTCTGGCTGGAATTCTGAAAGTCGGGGAAAAGACCAGTTGACAAAGTGTTTCCACATTTCTGAAAGGGCCAGGAAACATCAGAAAGGCTGTTCCTGTTTCACAGGCATGACCCAGGCTGCAAAGCCACGGCCTGAGCTCAGCTCGAGCACTGAGATCCCTGACTTCTGGTGACCTGGAGTGGACAGTGCTCGTGACATCTGAAAGGATTTGCCTCTATTTAAATTACTGATTTCAGAAACAGCTTCTCCAGCTGAACTCCCAGGAGCGGGTCTAGGTTTGAGCTACATAAAAATCACGAATGTGTCTTATTTTAAAGCAAGCATCGATCCCGGTGCTCTGTCCTGCTCTGTCCTGGAGCCTGAGCCATAAAATCCGTGGATGGAGAACGCTGCAGGAAACAGGTGCGGAGCAGCTTCCCGGCCACCAGGAAACGGGCTCGGGGGTCATTAACGCTCGAAACAGAGCCCCGTGTTGTGTCGCCGCTCCCGGAGCGCTTTCCCGAGGGCAGCAGCGCATCCCGACCCTGGGAGGATGCGCCGCGGGTGGGTCCGGCTCTGCCCAAGGGGGCGGCTCCCCACGCCACGGGGGGGTTGTGCGGGACAGGTATAAAAGCGGAGGGATGGAGAGTTTGGGAGCGGGAAAGAAGGGAAGAGCGGCGGGAGGAGCGCGCCAGGGTTTGGGAGCGGACAGAGGAGGCGCATCCCGAGCGCGGGCGGGGCCGCTTCCCGAGGAGCGGGGCTGAGCCGAGCCCGCTGGCCCGGAGCCCGAGGAGGGGAGGGAAGGAGAGAAGGAGGAGGAGGAGGAGGAGGAGGAGCGGCTCCCTCCCGTCCCCTCCGCCCGCGGATCTGGGGCGATGCTGGCGGTCGCGGCGCTGTGCGCGGCCGCGCTGGGCTGCGCGGCGGGGGCGCGGCTGCTCAGCGGTAAGAAGGGGCTGAAAGGGGGATTGCCCGGCCTTGGCATCGCCCCCCGGGCACGGACAGGGCGCTCCGGCCCCGCTGCCGCTCGCCCCTGGAGCTGGGAGGGTCGGGATGCGCGGGAATGTCGCGACACGGGGAGGGTGCGGGTGCGGGGGGTGCTCGGGGGAAGGTTGGGCTCGGGGGTGTTGGTTTGCAACTTCCTCGGGAGGGGCAGGCACTGAGCTCTGCTCTGCGGGGACCAGGGACAGCATCCAGGGAACGGCTGGAGCTGTGTCAGGGGAAGTTTAATTTGGATCTCAGGAAAAGGTTCTTCCCCCAGGGGGTGGTTGGGCACTGAACAGGCTCCCCAGGGCAGTGGGCACAGCCCCGAGGCTGCCAGAGCTCAAGAAACATTTGAATGATCCTCTCAGACACACGGTGCGACTCTTGGGGATGGGCCTGTGCAGGGCTGAGGGTTGGACTCGGTGATTCTGGTGGGTCCCTTCCAGCTCAGCACATTCTGGGATTCTGTCTCTTCCAACTTTCATGACTCTGTGATGTTTCCCTGCCCTGCCCTGGGGAGCTCACTGAAGTCAGCAGACTTTGGGGCAGATCCAGTGCAGGCAGTGAGGAGATAAGGGGGGAATACAAGGAACCCTTTCAGCACTGCTTACAGCTACACAGACAATGTCCCCTGTAACTTAAACCCTATCTGGGATCCTAAAGAGCAGTAATCAGACACTAATGAACTACAGTAGATTTTTCCTTAGCTGGAAGTAATTACAAGTTTGGCTGATAAGGCAGAGGGGAAAAAATTGCATTTGTGTATCAGAAACACCCTGAGTGCAGCTTGTGACAGTATTTCTAAACAGCTAGTGAAACTCTTTAATAACAATGTACCATCTGTGTTTTTCTCCTGCCTTTCACAACAGCAGTGGACATATCCCTCAGGAGAGGTAAGGGGGTTTTGCCTTTCTCACCATGCCTGTATAGGTACAAAGTTCCCAAGAGAAATACAGGTTATGCCAGAAATGTATTTTCTAATACTGCTGTTGTAGTAAAAAAACCCAAAAAACCAAAAAAACCAAATTGTTCCTGTTGCAACTTCTGTGTAAAACGTTAACAAACTGATTCTGACTATTGAACTGTTCACAAACTCCACTATAAAGCAAAGGCAGAGGGGTTCATAATGACCTGTCCTCCCATCCCCTTTGTTCTGAGCACGTTACAAATGTTGCTGAATGTTTTCCCTCTGTGCAAACACAGTCGGTTAGCAGACTGTGTCTGAGAAGAAATATTTACTGAGCAGAACAAAACTGTTTGTTTCCACGGCCTAAATATTGGGGCTGCTCTGCCGAGGAGCACACAAGTGCATGAATCCAGATGATGTGCCTCTTCACTTTGATCTCCCCTTTGTAACCAAAATAAGCTGTGCTGCTTCTGCATGAGAAAGTCCTTGGCTTCTGACAGCCTGAAAACAGACATTTGTTTACTTCCTGGGCAGTCAGCAGCATTGCACAGAGCAGAGGGAGCTGGGCTGGGGGAACACGTCTTGTTCTCCACAGCAGAGATGCTGAAAATGGAAAGAGTAAGTTTAGGTGGGATGATGGGAAGGAATCCTTCCCTGTGAGGGTGGGAAGGCTCTGGCACAGGTTGCCCAGAGAAGCTGTCCCTGGATCCCTGGAAGTGCCCAAGGCCAGGTTGGCACAATCTGGGATAGTAGAAGGTGCCCCTGCCCATGGAAGGGGTTGGGACTTGCTGAGCTTTAAGGTCTTTTCCAACCCAAACCATTCCATGATCCTATGACTGCAACATGCACTCCATGACACTCCATAAACCCTAGGAGAGAAATTCTTGCTATTTCTGCTTGTGGAAGGGAATCTCTGATTTAAGCTGCTTAATTCCTTAAAAATAACAATAAATTTAAAAAAAAAAAAATATCCTCTTGGGAGCCTTGCAAGGGAACTCTGTTCTGGAAAGGCTGCATATGTGAGCTTGCTCCCTGGCACAGCACTGCTGCTTTGGGAGGAACTCCCAGGCTCTGGAACTCGCAGAAAAACCGTGAGGCAGCTGAGAAGAGCAGGACATGAAAGGAAAATCCTAAACTGTTTGATGCAGTAAGAAAAGCTTGGAGATGCCATTGCCAGGCCAGTGACACAAGAGGCCCTTCACCTGTGCTGTGTTTTCCGTGGAGACAGTGCAAACCTCCCCCAGATGGAAGCATTAACCCCGAAACTTTGGCCCCGCAGGCAGAGCTGCTGTGACAGGTGCCCCTCCCTCCCCGCAGGACAGACAGTTTGCCGCCGTGGGACGCAGAAACCCTGCTACAAGATCGTGTATTTCCACGATGCCTCCCGCAGGACCGGCTACGAGGAGGCTCAGCGGGCCTGCCGGGCTGACGGGGGGCACCTGGTGAGCATCGAGAGCCCTGCGGAGCAGAGGCTGATCGAGAGCTTCATCAGCAGCCTCCTGGCTGCCGATGGCGACTTCTGGATAGGGCTCAGGAGGGAAAAGGAGGAGGAGGAGGAGGGCAACAGCACAGAGTGTCAGAGCTTCTACTCCTGGTCGGATGGCAGCTCAGCCAAGTTCAGGTGGGTACCCGTGGGTGACACCGGGAGGCCAGAGGGTTCAGGGACTGTCAGATGCCTTCAGCAATCACAAAGGATGCTGCCAGGTGAACAAACCCAGCTGCCATTTGTGGTGCATCCCATCCAGATATAAAGTTACCCCACTCTGGAGACTCTCTGTTGCTCCACATGACACCTGGAGAGCGTAGCTTGGGCTAAATCGATGATTTTTGGTTGCTAAAAGGAGCGGGAAGAACAAGTGATCTGGTCTTAAAAAAATCTGATTAGGCTGCTACAAAATATGTGCTTGGACCTGAAGGTTCCTGCATTTCAGATCCCCTGGAGCTCATCCCTGAGCAATGAGCTCTTTCCCTTCTGCTTGCTGAAGGAATGCCTTTTTTTCCTCAGTTAAACCTGAGAGCTGCAGGATTTATCGTAGACGTGAAAAGTTCAAGTTTTCCCCACATTTGTAAGGTTTCTGCCTCCTTGTCTTAAGGCAGGAGAAACCACAGCGTTTGTTGAAATTAAAATATCAAAGCATTCACCACAGCATTTACACCAATTTGCATTCCTCTTTCTATTGGACATGTGTAAAAACATCTTGCCAGTGACCTCCTTGCCTTGGGAGCTCATCAGGTATTTCAGTTGCTCCGTGAAGAAATGAATAAAACTGCTTTTAGTGCTGCTGGATGTATTAAAGTTCCTCCTGTGGTTCAGATTTTGGGGGTGGATAATGGGAAGCTGGAGCCAGATCTGCTGCTAAGAAACAGGCACAGCTTTTATTGCCTTTTCATTGGTGAGACACAGCTTATTTATGCTAAATGATAAAGCCAAGGAAAACACCAGGGGAGGAAGGAAGTGAGGGAGGAATACAGCACTGGGAGGATTGAAAAAACACTGCTTTAACACACAGGGGTGTTTTCCCATGTGGGATGCCTCGGGACATCTGGAATTATCTCTGTTGTACGGGCCAGCTGGGCAGCCAAAACATGGTTGGTTCCAAAATAGTGGGTACTGAACACTTGGCAAAATCAGCCCCAGTTTAGAAGAGTTCCTCTGAGTAGCAGAAGATGCCTCTTCAGTAACAATGGTACTACCAGGGTGCTGAGCCTCCTTCCTGTGTACTCTTGGAAAAGCCTGCACAGTTGTCTAGTGGTGAAGTTTATTATTAGAACAACAACAACAAAAACTATCTGCAAGACAGTGCTGGTGCGTTTCTAGACAGAGAAAACCAGATCCCACTTCAGCTTTTTCATTTCCTCATCAAAGAGGGGTTGAAATTCTGCGAGGCACCCAGGCCAGAGAGCAAAAAAAATAACCGTGAGGGATGATTTTGCCGGGGTCTAAAGTCGCGTTTGGGGAAGGTCGAATTTCTCCTGAGGAGGTTTCAGGCTCAGCCCTTCGCTCCTTAATGTTTAACGCCCTGATTGCTGGGTTTTTCTGTGAAAAATCACAATTCCAAGAATAAACAACTGTACTCTCGGGGGGAGGGGGGGTGCTGTGACCCCTCTGGGCCGTGTTCCCGCCTGAGCTCCTGGGAAGTGACGTCAGGTTGTGCTGGTTGTGTTTTCTCAGGAACTGGTACGTGGATGAGCCATCCTGTGGGAGTGAGATCTGCGTTGTGATGTACCACCAGCCATCTGCCCCGCCAGGTGTCGGGGGTCCTTACATGTTTCAGTGGAACGACGACAGATGCAACATGAAAAATAACTTCATTTGCAAATATTCCCTGGGTAATGAGTCATTCCTTAGCTTTGAAACCCAACCCTGGGGAGAAGGTACCGGGAGGCTGCAGGGACACAGGGTGTTTCTCTTTTCTTTCAGAGAAGCCAACGACTGCTCCAGTAGAGGACCCTCCCAGAGGTGAGCTGGAGTTACTTGTCTGGGGCTCTTTCTCAGTGATGTGTTGCCCTTCAGTGGACACACCGTGTCACACTCATGCTCAACAGACAGAAAACTTACTGAGCAAGAAGCTTCCCTGCAGTTTGCACTTTCCCTTGTGCTGTTCCATAATCCATCCTGTAGGAAAACAGTCTTGCTGCTGTTGATGCAGGTCACTGAAGCACAAGAGGGCCGGTACCCTTTACACACCTGTGCAGCCCTCAGTCTCTTCCATCTCCTCACCCTCACTTTTATGATTCTTAAGCTCTTTCAAAACCCAAAAAATCTGCAATATTAACGAAGCTGCTTCTTTCCAGATGTTGCCACAGAGCCCCTGAGCCCAGTGTTGCCAGGGGAACCCTGTAAGAGAGGTGTAAATGTGACAGCTGTAGGAGCCAGAGGTATGTTGTGCATCCCACACCATCCCAGAGCAAAGTGTTCTGGGTGTGAAGAAGGCACTTTAATTGAAGCACTTTGGAGTGGCTAAACTGCTAATGTTTTGTTTCTAAGTGGGTGATTAACTGTGAGAAACTTCCAATTTCTTCTTACCACTGACTCCTTTTCACCCCTAGAACCTGTTCAGAGTCTTGCCTACATCCTTATTCCCAGCATTCCTGTGCTGCTGCTCCTGATGGCCATTACAGCCATCTCCTGCTTCTGGCTTTTTGTGAGGAGGTAAGTGGCATTTTTATGTTAAGATCAACTGTGATAGCATTCCCTGGCAGTAATCTTGCAGCTGGTTTTGGCACCCTGTGAGGTGCTCTGCAGAGGGCTGCTTGCAGCCAAAGAAATGTTTAAAAAGTGGAGTGGGTGCCCCAGGCTGTTATTTCCAAGCAAATTTTTAAGTAAATCACATTATATCATATTACTGGGTTCACAGATATAGTAATCAGGGAAGAACAGTGTAAACAAGACAATGATTTTCATGTGGTAGCACTTCATCTTTCTTATTAAAGACTGGAGTTATCGACTTGAATTATTGATTTGAATTATCAGATGCTCCCCTCCGAAAGTGAAAAATGTGGAGATAAAAGAAGCAAGTAATACTTATCAACAACCTCTCCTTGCTTCCCCTGTGTGCACAGCAGCTCTGCTGGGGGTGCTGGTTGTGCTTTTGGGAATGTCAGGGTTGGGTTTTGCTGCTTCGGCGTCTCCAGGTCGTGCCAAGGGGTGCAGCTGGAATGACAAATAATTCCCAATTCTATGCAGAGCCCAGGTTCTGAGGGTCAGCTTTCCTCAGGGGTCAGCATTAACTGTAAGAGATGTGGCACTGCTTTGTGTTTGCCTCAGGAAAAGCCACATGAGGGTTTTTTGTTTCCCCCCCCTTTCCCAAGGAGGGAGCAGCGAATGGACACCAGCCCGAAGGAGGAGGATGCCTGGCTGTCCAAGCCCGGGGGGAACAGCCCCAGCCTGGACATCTACAAAGTCATCAACAAGCAGTCAGAAGCAGATCTGGCTGGGGCCAGGCCTGGCACCCAGAATTCCTCGTTCCAGGCATGGGAGCACAGGGAGCTGGGCAGGCCAGCCCCCAACACCTCGAGCTTTGGGACCGAGAGCGGCTTTGTCACCAACGACATCTACGAGCTCTGTGGGGACCGTGTGGGCAGGAGCAAGGAGTCCACCTGGGTGGACAATGAGATTTATGGATACTGAGCGGATGGACCAAAAAAAAAAACACCCACCCCTGGATTTCAGATGAGACAAGTTCACCTGCCCTGTCTATGCACTTGTTTTAATAACTTGTTTTAGTATGTGGTGTTTGTCCTGGTTTTGCATTGGGCCCATATTCTTCTCTTTTTTTTTTTTTTTTTTGGCAAGAATATGGGTTTTTTAACGATCCAGAGTGAAAAGAATGTATATATTTTGCTTTGCATCAAGCCCCCTTTGCCCTGGGAATGGCTTGTTAATCCTCCCGATTCACTTTTGTACCAAAGATATGCCTTGAAAGGTAAAGGACAATCCAAAATCCTTATTTATTTAACTGACCCACTGGTCTTAAAGGTGCTAAAAGTTGCCTGTTGGGTGGGATGGAGCCCTGCTTTCCTGGAGATGGCCCAGGGGGGAGCAGGGAATGAATTCCTTGGTTTGCTTTGCTTGTGTGTGCAACTTTACCCATTAAACTGCCTTTATCTCAAACCACAGATTTTCTCACTTTCACTCTTCCAATTCTTTCCCTCATCCTCCTGGGAGGGAGGGAGGGAGGGGAGACCAAGCACATCAAGCATGTTTTATTACACACCTTTTCAGGCGTTCCTGGCTCCAGGAGAGAGCAGCACTTTGCTGCTGAACAAATCCACGGAGCACCTAAAATGAACTTTTAGCTCTTGACAGGGTTCCCTTGAAAGCTCGCTCTTCTCCCTTTGCATGGAAATAAATAAATAGCAGAAAAAAAAAAAAAAAAAGAAGAAGAAAAAAACGCCACAAATTTCACAAGCCACCAGGAAAACAAAGGTTTGGCAAAAGGCTGGAGATTTTGGGTGCCTGAGGCTGTGTTTGGGTGCTCTGGTCCTGGCGAGCCGCGTGTGCCCAGCGCCTCTGCGGGGCATTAAGGCCAGGAGATTTTAGGAATTCTGCCGTTCCACGTCTCCCCTGGATCCTCGGGATCAGTGCGGCAGCAGTGACCACACGAGGGCATGTGCGCTCCACGCCTGGGGTTTGCCAGGAGCGCTGGGATCCCTCTCCTTGGAGCACGGCAAAAGCCATCGCTGGTCGCCAAAATCTGCAGGACAAAGGATGTTTCTGCAACCTGAACCTTCGAGCTGCTGCTGGAGTTTGCTCTTTCAAGCACAAAATCTGACTTAATTATTGATTTATTTTTTTTCCCACCAGGCTGAGGCTTTCCTGTGGCCAGGAAGCAAATAAGTGTTTAAATACTCAAGAATTCAGTTTATAATAAAGTGACTGAGAATTAATATTAGGCAATATTTTGCACAGTGGAGACAAAAGTTACTTTTAACACACCGAGCTCGAGTCTGTAAAATAAAAATGAAGCCCCTCAGAACAGAGAAATTTCACAAGTGGCACTTTGGGATGACACCACTTTCTATTCAAGTAGGATTATGGAAAGCTTGCTCATGTACCTATCAATCACTTAAAAGGGTGGATGTCTGACTAAGTCAAGTCATCAGTTAGTCACTGCCAGAAGTTCTGAAGGGGATAAATAGAACAGTGAGAGCACTCTGGTTGTTCTCCATGGCAGCCCAAGTCAGCAGCGTCATCTCCAAATGTCACTCCTTGGAGGAATCTCATGAACAGGGAAGGACAGGCATGAATTTTTGCACGGAGATCTTCAGCTCCCTTTGCAGAACAGTCATCACTGTTTGACACCTCACAGATTTAACCCACCCTTCGCAGGCATGAGGCAGCCTGACGTGTAAAACCTGTATCAAAAAGGGAAAGCAAGAGGCACAAGTTTGTTCCTTGCGTTCTTCCACTTGTTCTTTTCGGGGCCACGCTCTGCTTTGAGCTGTGTTTGCATCAGAAAAGGGCTGTGACTGTGTTGCTGATCCAAAAGACACGAGGCCTCTTGTTCCATCAGCTGTTGGATGTGCCTTGTTTAGTCAGTGGAGCCCAGCAAAGATTCCAGGGGTGATTCCTGGTACCCAAAATGAGTCCTCCAGCATGAGAAGGGGCAGAGGGTAAGAGTGATCAGAGAGGAGCAGGCATGACCCAGGACAGCAGAGATTACTGCAGAGCTGAAATGGCATTTTTAAAATGAGAGCAAGCTAATGTGTAAGTGCACAGACAAATCAGACCTGGTGGACTTAGTACCAGAAAGGAACTTTTTTCACACACTGTCAACTCTGAAGGTCCTCAAACCATTTCATGTCAAAGGGCCTAACAGAGCTTCCAAATCTGCCTTTCCAGGTGTGTAGGAAATAAATAGAGGAATAGTTTAGTTATAGAAGGCACCTGCAAAAATTATCTAGTCCAACTGCCTGACCACTTAAGCTCCTTAGGGACCCCCAAAGTCTGATCCAGGTGCAGCAGCTCAGGGTGCCAATGCATGGAGCCCCTGATTTAGGGCTGGAGAGACACCTGGGGCTGACCCATTCCCCCTCATCCTGCTAATGAGCTGGGCCTGCTTAGAGAAGGCTGACAGGGGATCTCATTAAAGCACATAAATGTCTCCCAGGGGTGGGTTTGACCCCTCCTACTGCTACACTATGGGGTACCCACCGAGCAGGGAGAGCAGATGGGGATGCCCACACCAAGCTGTGGGGGGAGCCTGGGGGACCCATTGACCCTCAGCACCGCTGCCCCATCCCCGTTCCTGTCCCCATCCTCACCCCTATTCCTGTCTCCACCTCCATCCCTTTCCTCATTCCCATCTCCATCCCTGTCTCCATCTCCATCCCTGTGCTCATTCCCATCTCCATCCCTGTCTCCATCTCCATCCCTGTGCTCATTCCCATTCCCATGTCCATCCCCATCTCTGTCCCCATCCCTATCCCCATCTCCATCCCTGTCCTCATTACCATCCCCATCCCTGTCCTCATCCCTATCCCCATCTCCATCCCTGTCCTCATTTCCATCCCTGTCCCCATCCCTATCCCCCGTCCCCATCCCTGTCCTCATCCCTATCCCCATCCCTGTCCTCATCCCTATCCCCATCCCTGTCCTCATCCCTATCCCCATCCCTGTCCTCATCCCCATCCCCATCCCTGTCCTCATTTCCATCCCTGTCCCCATCCCTATCCCCGCCTCCATCCCCATCCCACCCCATTCCCTAACCCCTTCCCCATGCCCAATCCTCCTCCCCGTGCCCTGCCCCGCTCCCCCTGGCCGCCGGTGCCGTGTCCCGGCGCTGTCCCCACCCCACCGGCGGGCTCGGCCCCGCTGGGCGGGCGCGCCGCCGGTTTCCATGGCGAGCCCCCGCCCGCGGTGACGCGCGCGGTGACGCCGCTCGGTGTCCGTGTGTCGGTCCGTCGGCGGCCGAGGGACGGGCGGAGCGGGCGGAGGGGGCGGCGCGGCCCCCGGGGCCGCCGAGCACCGACCCCGAGCAGCCCGAGGCCGCCGCCGCCGCCGCCCCCCGAGCCCAGCATGGTGATGGCCGAGCCCCGGCGGCCCCCGGCGCTGCTGCCCCGCGGGCTCGGCCCTGTCCGCGTCGGCTTCTACGACATCGAGGGCACGCTGGGCAAGGGCAACTTCGCCGTGGTGAAGCTGGCGCGGCACCGCATCACCCGCAGCGAGGTGAGGTCGCTCCCGCCGCATCCCGACCCCCCGTCCCGCCCCGCGCTCCGCTGCCCCCCTCGGGGAGGGAGCCCGCCCGGGATGGGGGTACCCGGCTCCAGGATGGGGGTACCCGGCTCCAGGATGGGGGTACCCCCTCCGGGCGTGCACCCGGCCCCGGGATGGGGGTAGCCCCCGGGTGATGGCCCTAGCCCTAGGGATGGGGGTACCCTACCAGGGATGCGGGTATCCGGCCGCGGGGATGGAGCCAGCACCGGATTTGGGGTACCCAGCCCCAGGATGGGGGTGTCCGCCTGGGATGGGGGTGCCCCCTCCGGGGATGGACCTTGCCCCGGGATGGGGATCCCCCGCCCCCGGAGCCGGCTGTTCCCTTGAGCGCCCCTCGCCCGCTTTTGTCCCTCCTTCCGGCACCTCCCGCGGCGAAAAGGGATATTTTATTTTATTGCAGCAGCCGGGTCGGTTTTTCCTGCTCTCATCTTCCCCGGGAAGGGCAGGATAACGCCTCCTCCCAGCCCTTGTGGCTCAGGCCGCGGGCGGGTGGTCGGGGATGTCACCCCCCAAGGATGTCACCCCCCAGGGATGGCACCCTCCCGACCCCGAGCATCCTCGGGGTGTGAGCAGGGCAGGCAGCTGGTGGGTGAGCTGGGAAGGTTCAAACCTTGCCCGCCGTCGTGCCCTGGGTATTTCAGGGTGTCCTGACCTGGCCGGTGCTTGCAGATGATGAGCAGTGCTTCTCCCCGGGTTATCCGCTCCAGCAGAGGAACTTGTGTGTGTCCTGAATCCTTCCGTCCATCCAGCATCCTGCAAGTTGACCAAATTCAACCATTTTTAGTCTCTTTGTTTAACCGCCCCCGTGTATTACCCGGTGATTATTGTTAATACCTGGTGCTTTACCTAAAACAACAAAAAAAATTATTGTCAGTCTGGGTGGATAAAATGTAGTCATGTTCACTTTAAAAGGGAAAAAAAAAAAAAAGAAAAAAAGGAAGTGTCTGGTGAGAGTAATGGCTCTGAAAGCTCAGCTTTCTCCTGTATGTTGCTCTGAGGTAGTTTTAGTCACTACACCTAGAGGTAAGGTTTTTGTGAGCCTGTGTTCTGGTTGCTTTCATTGTTTGCTGAGGAAGAGGCTGCCGTGCTGCTCTGTACCTGACAAAAGTCATTTACGGTGTTCCCTGAAGTACAAAGTGAAAACTGAAAAGACCTGGCAGTTTTTCCTCGCTGTGGTCTCCGTGTGGTAAAATCACAAAGCAAACCCGTGGCGCTCTCCCCACACAGGGGTCCATGAGCTTTGCATCCCAGGGGTTAAAAGAAATTTCTCTCATTTCTCCAGCTCGTAATAGACTCAGTTCTTTTCAAGCCCTTCCTTTGCTGTTCCTGAAGAGCCAAGCAAAGCCCTGGCAGTGTTAGTGCTCCCTTCCCAAGTTTGTTGCCAGATGCCAAACTTGTAAAGGCTCCACTCGAAGATATTAAGTTTTCACTTGCTCTGTAGTTCTCATTTCTTTGGCGGACTCTGCGACGGGGGTGAAAACTTTCATCTTTATTTGTGTTGTATGAAAGTATGTTTGTTTAGCATTGTTCAAAATAACAAAGGTTACAGAAAACTTAGAGCTCAGCAGCTCCCCAGCTCTGGTATGATTTTATTTCACCCTTGTCCTAAGAAATTGCTGAATTTCAGTGCATTCTAATACAGTCTTGATTTTTTTTTTTAACCAACTTTTCTGTCCAGTCTGAAGCCTCTGTGATTTTATTTTTTTTTTTTTAAACAGCAGATTTGCCCGTGTTGGAGATCTGTGTCAAGGTCTTTGATTTTTTTTTTTTTTTTTAGTGCAGCTGCATTGTGTTTCTGCAATAAGAGATGCAGGAGTGTTTATCTGGAATTTAATTGCTGAGCTAGTTGCTGGAAGTACTTACATGGCCTTTGAGGAAGGGGAA